ATTATATTTCAGCAAGTATTTACCATCAGCCATAACCTTAATATTTAAAACTAGAATCATACTAAAATTATAAAGTGAGAAGTTATTTATTCCTGTGTAATTGATTTAACACAATTCTAATGATACGATATAAGTATTTTGAGGTTAAGAACCTCTCGTTCGCAAGGCTAGCTTCCGGATTTGTCATTTCCGAATTTTATAATGTGCTTGGCATTAAAAACACGCTCACCTTTAACGAAATTTCCTTTCCGAGGCTTTGTGTCAGCCCAATCACATATTGTGTCAATAATTATTTTATCGTAATTTAAAAACATGGAAATTGCACGGTACACTATAGGAACTACGATAAATTTCCCCTAAACGGCTCCTACCATTTGACGGATCCCAATAGTATAGTGAATATACATTATACTATAATCTATGAGATGCCGGTCACAACAGCAGACTTTCTATTCTCTATTTATCTTCCCATAGCCTATCGCTTCGCGAGACGAATCGTTGCAAAACGTGTTGTTTCATGGCCTTGAGATTTTACTCTCATCTAGCCTAAACAAGTTTCACTTCAAAAAACCTATCTAAACACAGCCTATTCCACCTTGCTATACTTGTAAGCTGAATCCTATCTTTTGTTTACATTGCTTTGTATATCTATTTCGTTGTCTTGAGTTTCTATTACTATTTTTTATTATCCTGTTCGTGTGTCCCTGTTTTTCTCTTATGTCATTATTATTTTGTACCGTTCACTTTTATTTTGTATATACTTATTTTCGTTTGTTTATATATGTGTTCATTTTTGTATATAGAAATTGGTATTTCTTTTTATTGCAGTTTCTATTATTGCGCCGTATTTAAGTGAATATTAACTTTTAAAGACGTTAAATAACAGTAAGTAAATTAAAAAGTTCATTATCTTCCAAAGTAGATAATAAATGTAATAGCACACAATGTACGTATACGTATATTCAGGCGCATATACGTATATATGTAGATGTATACTGCATCTACAATGGATTCTAGTCGATCGGGTGGTTATGTAGAACGAAACAAGCAAGGCGCTAACAATCGGATATTCATTAACTTTACGTTGTAAATTGCTCGAGTTGAACGGCAATTGCTACACCGAAAATTTTATCTAAACTTGAATGCGAGCGCTGTGGGAATTCAGCTAGAATTTTGGAAGCCACTGCAACACTTTGCTTCCAAATTACGCCACCAACTATGGCCCAGTAACTTCATTCTTAACGATGCTGATATTAAAGTTTAACCAACAACAGCCATATCTTCTGCTTATATATTTTGTGTAATGAATTTTATAATCAAAATCACTCGGTAAACTACAACTTTTTCACATTTACTCACATTGGCATAAGAACATCACTTTATTCCTTTTTAATTTAGCTTACATTGCAGTGATTGACGCTCTGCTGTCTCAATTACAGTATGGTGATAGTAATATAGGTCTACCTCTACTCCTTTTAACCCTGCTTCTGCCTCTAATATGTCTCTGATTAGCCGTTCATGCCTGAGAAGGTGTCCTACCAAACTATCTCGCCTATTTTTGACTGACTTTCATAGAGTCCCCTGTTCTCTTATTCTTCCTAATACCTCTTCATTTCTAACCTTCTCTATCCACGGTATCGTCATCATTTACCGCTAACACCACATTTCTAACGCTTTTAACCTTTTCTTTTCCGCCGCGTCCACCGTTCATGTTTTGCACCCGTACAGCGCCGCTGTGTACGGGTGTCGAATTTGTGAATTCGTTCGCGAGCATCGAAGTGACTTCTTTTTATTGAAGGCGACTAGACCCTGCGCTATCCTCTGGTTTATATCCCTACCACTCCTTCCGTCCTGACTTATTTGACTTCCTAGATAAATGAAATAAGCCACTTCTTCTATCTTTCATCTCCTATCTTTATATTTGTTCATTCCCTACTTTTTCTTCACTTGCATAACAGTATTTTTGTTTTACTTTCAGCCTATTCAGTCTGATCTATTAATAACAAAAAAATTAAAGCGAGATGAATTAGGTTACTTCTTTTATATTTTGCATTGCTAATGTTGGTGACAAGCCATGGTTGATGCGAATCGCCATTTCTAATTGGAGACAGTAGCAGTGCCAACCGATGTCTGTATCTTTGTTTAGTTTCGTGTAAAGTTGTCAATAATTTGATACTTTTCTTTTCTGGTGTAAATGATCATTTTGATTATATATATATATTTATTTTAAGACACTAACCTGTATCGTTTTCAGTAGAGACTCCCAAGCTGTTGGAATTATCGTTGATGAAAGCTTCAGTCGAGTTAGTAAAGGTTTGAGGGGACAAGGTTAGATCGGGTCCACTGGAGGAGTCGAACAGATCAAATGTCGCCGTCACACCTTCTGTCGTACCTGAAATAATATTGCATTTGTAATTTTTACAGACATGTTTCTATCAATTATTTAATTGCTAATTAATTAAAGTATTCATAGTTTCATAGTCCTTTAGTCGTTTTTTGTGCTTTGTTGTATAAGAAACATTTAAGTGCTATTCATCATAATGAACAGGTATTAGAAAGAATAGGAGAACAGAGGACTCTATGGAAGACAATAAGAAATAAGCCAGATAAGGTCTAGTCAGAGACGTACTAGAGGCAGAAACAGGAGTTAGCAGGGGTAGAGCTAGATCTAGGTTAGATTACTGTTCGCAAACAGTTAAGGTTGTTCTAGTTTTAGCGAAATGCGAAGTTTAGCTCAGGATAGGAAAGAGTGGAGGTACGTGTCCAACCAGTCTTAAGACTGACGACCTTGTGATGATGATGATGACATCATAATGTAGTAAATCGGAAGGCTGGTTGGACAGGCATATTCCCTACTTCATTTTCTTAGTCAATCTTCTAGTCTAGTCGAGGAGTAGTTTTTCTGCAAAAAAATCATTTTCAATCTTTTAAAAATTTGATAGATAGTTTATTCGATGAGGGATGCCATTCTAAAAAATCGTATTTCCGTATTTTTTCGGAAAATGAAAATTGCAATTGTTATTAATAAGAAAAGAAAAAAAACTGTTCAGTTTTTTGGCGATTGATCAAAAGCCTATTTTAAAAGATAAATTAAAATACAGTTCTGAGAGAGGTAGGTTTTTTTTATTGAAATTCCTCCACCTTAACGATCTTTTTGCTAATTTCTATTATCGGTTATAATCTTTTGGTATCGTCAAAACAAGGAATCTACTTTTGTTTTTCGTTTTTTGTTGATAACAATTGAGACTATTCACATTTATTTAAAGCGAGAACTAGAACCCTAATTTAGCTCTTTCTCTGTCATTCTTTGTCCCTGTTTCTGATTCTAATGTATAACCGGCATGTCTCACGTGCCCTAAAATGCTATCTCTTCTTTTCCTTATTGACTATCATAGTTTTACATTAATAATCATTTCGAATTTCTCAACTAAATGTTCACGTACACAGAAATTTATGTATTTATTTATATTATTTATTTACATGTTTGTGGTAAATTTTAAGATAATAAAAGAAACTAATATTACAATTACAGCACGATTTTATTGAAAATTATTTTATGAGGGGAGGGGCCGTGAGAATTGTGATTGAAAATTGAGTCGCAAGTACTAAACTAAACCGGCGAATGTCCTAAAAACCGGGTTTACATAATATTTAAGTACAGTAAGACCCCGCTTAACGCGCAGGATACGTTCCATTAAAGTAGAGCGTAATGCGAAACAGCGCTAAACGAGGCTATCTTAACATGTAAATAATGGGGTTAGGGGAAGATGGAGAGAAAATTGGTTAGGTATAAAATTTAATAAATGTTTTTTTTTAATAAAAATAAAACCAAACATTTATTTCTTATTAAAAAGAAACAATTTAAACGAATATACTTATAAAAATAAATAAAATTCTAAGTCAGTCAGATCATTCAGTCTATTCTGTTTCCAATTTTTTGTCAGGAAGGCATTTAATGTAGTTTGCGTTTTCCTTTTGCGTTCTGCTAGAAGTTGTTGATAAGTGGATAAAGCATCTATAACATCCCATCTTGCTTTTGAACTTCTGTCAAAATTTGGATAATTTTCAACATATTGGTCCATAAAACTTACCGCTGCGCACAATTTCGGGGAATCCCCGGGTTGAAATAAAGGAGCGCTAAACGAAACAGCTTTACGCGGGGTCTTACTGTACAGGCAGTGTATCGCCATCTAGTGGGTATTTGCTGCCACTAATGTATTTAGTGTGCTGAGAATTGTGGTAGTAGTAGATTCACCATTATCAATATAGCTAACATTGAAGAAGAGATTGATAATAATAATAGTTTATATATCTGTTACCGGAAATGTATAAAATCCCTGATTGTATACAATTCCTAGGAAAGGTATATAATTCCTAAAATTTCCCGGAAATGTGTGAAATAAATTACACTAGACACATTTTCTAGGAAATCTGTACACTTCCTAATCGGAAATGTATTACAGGTAAAACTAAATAGGCAATAATATTCATTGTTGACGTTATTGTTTAGTTAGGGAAATTTATGACAGACTGGAGTTCCTTTAATGCTTGGAATTGCGAATACAAAATAAATATACTTTAATAATCAAATTATTTTAAGTCGACATTTATTCTTTCTTTTTTAATAAACATAATGCTTCAATGAAGCATGGGAATTAGAGTTGGACAAGTGTTTTTCATTTTTCTAACATTTAAATAGGCGCACGTGTTCATTTTGTATGTTGCTTTCGTTTAATATTTCGTTCTATTTTGTAATCTTTATCTGCAATATCGAAAGCTACATTTAATATTTTCTGACATGATAGGATGTTACAAGTTTGCCGGTCTTCAACGTTAATTCTTTGTTTTATCTTTTTCTCTCTCGAGAAAACCTCGGATGAACGATCCTCTTCCTCGTATGAAATTTTCTCTAACGAAGACAAGATTAATAGCTCAATGTCGATACGTTGATACTCGTCAACAAAATCCGCTCAAGTTTATGACGCGTTTCCGTTTCCCATTCTCTTTCTCTCTCACACACTCTCTTCCTCTATTTTCTTCCTTTATTGTACTATAAAATGAAAATTTTATATCAGGTTTAAAACGACTAAATTTCTTATGTTAAGTAGTACGTAGGTACGATCGTATGATCGCATGTCATCATGTTGGCTGTGGCACGACCAAAGTGCTGATGCTGGAAGGAGGCGAAAAAGTACACAGGTAAAGAGGCGAAACGTAGGGCGTAACGCAGCTGGAAAGCTCCTTAACGGATATTAAATTGGTTTTGCTTTGCGATTTAGTCCTTGGCTATATCCGCGCTATGGGTGATTTATTATTACACATCCACCTTCTGTCAAAGCGTGATATATGTAGGTATACGTGTGTATAATTGTATAAACCCACTCACGAATACACCACGGTAAAGGTGTTTATAGTATTCACGCAAAAGTAAACGAAAGAAGAAAGAAAAACTTGTTCAAAGACCGGTGGAATGTTAAAGGAAAACATTACCTGTGAAAAGAAAATAATATAGTAGTAATAAAAAAATAGTTTCACTGTTTTAGAAAAATTATAGCAGATTTCGGCTGTTACCTATTGGGATCTGACCATCAAAAGGGCGACATCTGGTGGCAAAAAGTAAAAATCGTGTAAAGGTGCACTTATATTATGATTAGTATTGCAATTAACGAATAATTAATTGTTTTTTAATTATGGATATGGAGGTTGGTGTTTTTCCTTCATTTGTGCTGCAAGTGGCTGTAAAAGTAAAAAATTTCAATATTTCATTCCATTATTTTTCTGACCGGTATTTGAACCATTCCACTCAATAATATCATTTAAACTTATCATTTTGCACATATATTTTGCACTTTTCCGAATTTTTTCTTATAATTTCAGCATTCATGCACCCTTACGGTAGCCATATTGATTTTAACTCCGCCCCCTTGTCAGATTTCAATACTGTTATCTAATTATTACAAACTATCGACTGATGTAGATTAAGAGATCAATTACAATATCACTATTATTTGTAGGTGTTTTACTTGCTGTAATTGTTTTTATTAGTCAAGTTGTAATAAAATTATTATATGTTATTACGTGCTATCGTGATTTCTACGGTTTCTAGTAAATGCATCCTTAAACATTTATTTTGAATATTTAGTGACTGACCGAAAAATTTTTTTTATTCCTGATTCGAAAGGGAATGTATTCGATGAAGACATAATTCCGAGTATATTTTCAAAATTGCCCTATTAGCCACCATATTGAATTTTTATTTTGTCAATAGCTCTTACCTTGCAACGGCAATTCAAGTGGGGCCGCTTCACAGGTAGATTTGACTTTTTAATTAGGTTTATTTCATGTTAAACACATCCATGTAGTAGAAATGAGTAAAAAGCGTACAAGGTGAGATATATTTTCTTTCGTTCACTGCGTAGCTCTTTTCTAGTGCATCTGTGATTTCTCAGCCCTTAACGACTCACTGCCCAAAAAATTAAAAAAATATTCCGATTAGTTTATTTCTCGCCTACTAAAGTTACGCTGGTTTCCACTGTGCTATTTTGAACTTTTACTGCATTTCTCACTTTTATCAAATTAATGAAAACTAATGATTTATTTTTTCAGTCTGTAATAAGAACTCGTTTCTTACTTCAATTTAAAGGATCATTATAAATGTTTTCTGCGTAAAACGGATTCCTTCTGAAGAAGCTGACCGCCTGAGCAGTGAACAGTCAACAGGAATCCGCAAGAAATTTCTACATAAAAAAAGAACCAGTCAGAAAATTCCTCTGTATTAGTTTTTTGAAGTGAAACTTTTTTGGTATCGATGAGAGTAAAATCTCAAGGCCATGAAACGACACGTTTTGCAACGATTCGTCTCGCGAAGCGATAGGTTATGAGAATAGAAAGGCGCGCATGCGCATATCGGAATTATAGTCAGCTGTTGTGACCGGCATCTCATAGATTATAGTATAATGTATTTTCACTATACTATAGTGCGAAATTAATTTTTTGGTTATATCTGTGCAGTTATATTTCAGTAAGTGTATTACAGTAAATGTTTATTTAATAACAATTAATACTTATTTAAGAGTGAGTATGTATTAATTCTAATTCCTTGTAGTTATTGATAGTTTACGGTTTTTAAGCACTTCGAAGAATAAACGGAAGCGAAAAAAAATTGACCATTTTTTTTGTTATTGAATTACATAGAAACGCATTAAAGTAGTACTCCTTATGTGGACTAAAGATAAAATATGTTGGAAAACATAAATTCTGAAAAATCTCGTACTCTCTCTTTTTTTAACCAATCATTACTTATTTGTTTTAAAGGTATAGAGAGATCGCCAAAGCAGTTTCAACTACATTACAACCATACTATTTTAGATGTGTTTTCGCTAGTGAAATTGG